ATATTATTTTGAGTTTGTTTGGGATAATAAGAGAAACGTTTATCCTTCTAATATATATTTTTTGGACGTCCAAAGTTTTAGGTTTATACAATTATAATATCATCAGTAAGTGGTAACATTTAACTTCTAATTAGTCATCCCTTTTGTCATACGCTCTAACTATATTTGAGGTTTTCTGAAGTTTATTTCTTACCTTAGCATTTTTAAAACAGAATATTATAAAAGTAAAAATTCAGTAGATATTCATTAATTTTTATTTATAAATTTAGATGTTAAATTAAGATATTAAAATTATTAATATATATTTAAGTGGATAAAAATTAAAACTATAATATTATTATCATTTGTTGTATAAATGATCGGGTTACAGCTGATATTTTACGACTATTGTTTCTATCGTTTTTCTATTAAATAAATAAAATATTTCATTAAGAGATGAAATGTATAATGGTTTAACCTATTCAGTTATAAAGTCATAAATTGAACTTTGACTAATGTAGAACGGGTGCCATTACTTGATTTGCTAAGCATTTACAATAGTGTTATTTTTTTGACAACTACTATTTAATTTTATATAACAAATTATGAAACTATAATTTAGGTAGGTGAAATCTAATATTTGGGGCAGTTAATTTTGTCAATTTAAAAACAATAAAAAATATTTAATGAAGGAAAAAATCTTTTAAAAGCACAATTGTACAAAAGTGATATTATAAAATATTTTAAGATTAAAAATAAGAATGAATATTTTAATAACATAGGTATTAAAAACAGATAAGAAAACTAATTAGAAAGTTAGTTTTGAAAATATTATCCAAATAAGAAAATCAAACTCGAACCAAAACGAAAAAAAACTAAAACCAAAACCATACCAAAATTTTGAAAAACCCAAATAATTACTATTTCTCAGATCCTAAAACCAAAACTAAGATCATAATCGAACCGATAACCTAACAAGTAGCCAAATATTTGAAATATAACAAAATATTAATTATCAAAGTATATAATATAATTTATATATTATGATATACAAAATCTTTAATTACCTAAACTACTTTTTTGTATTTCTAGGGTTAATTTGATTTTTCAAAGTTTTTGGAGATTTATGGCTTTAAACATGACTCAACTATTTATAATTTGGTTTCACTTCGGGTTTTACAAAAAAAATATAAATGCAAACCGAATTCGACATTACTCGAACTGAACTTATCCGGAAAATATATGGTTCTTACACGGGTTATAAACACCCAAACGCGAATAACTCGGAAAATATAAAGGCAAACCCAATCTAACATTACTCAAACTAAACCGATCCAAAAAATGTAACGGTACATAAACACCCAACAAAAATTACGATAAGACAACAATATAAATTACTTTTAATTATATACGTCAAAACTCAATTGCGACATACAATATATATTTTAATTTACAAATAGTCCTACGGAATATCGTTTTTAAAAGATATAAATCCACAATATATATCGACTTTCATATTTCTGTTTTTTAAAAGCAATTTTTATTTTCTTTTTTAAAAAACAACTTCCATATTTTTCTGTACAAATCGTATAGAAAGGGATACTAGACGAAAAAATGAAACAAAAACTGAACCAGTGCTCACAATATCTAAACAACTCTTATATAAACTGAAACAAAATTGGAACCAAACTATCCAAAATACAGTTTATATACCCAAAAATATAAATAATATTTAGTTTTAATTAATAGTTATGAGATTTTCGTGATGAATATTTGACTTGATGGGTGTTTCCAGGTTTTTCCTATTTATTTTTATCCAAAATGTTTTAATTATCCTCATTTGCTATAAACATGAATATATTTTGTCAAAAAAATTTAAATTTATTTACTTTATCTGATATTTATACCAAAATCATACTTATATGGTTTTTTATTTGAATTCAAAATTATCCAAAAATGGGAACCATAATTGAAATGAACTCAAACATTTATTGGATTCATAACATTGTATTCCGAACCAAACCAAAAACCAAAATAACCAAATTCGAATTCATAATAACTGAATGGTACCTATCTATACTATTAAGATAAAATACCTGTTTTTGAGGTCCCCTTAATTTACTTTAGTATTTACGGATTTTGCCACACCTATATTCATGGTAAACCATTTTAATTATTATTTTTAGCTGAAAATACAATAAATTCAGAGGTTGATGGTTAAATACCACTTCTAATCAACTTCTGCAGCATAAATAATAAGATTAAAACATGATCAAGTTATTATTTTTAGTAAACATCATCAACTGGTCTTTACTCAGTCGTCTTACAAAAGAAGCACAAACATACACTTGGAAAACCGAGGATCTTCAGGTATACCATTTAACTTGGACCCTAACATCTCGGCGACATATTACATCCTAGCGAGACGACATATTACATCCTAGCAGGCGTAGATTTATAAAATTCACAAATCACAAAAACCTATGTGTTTTGCAAAAATGTTTATATCCCTTGAAACTTCAGATCCATCCATGTTTGAATATGTTTTCAAATGGCATAATACAGAATCGTATATAAGTGAATAACGCACGCATAAACATAACTTCTTAAGTATATGAAAAAATCTCCTAAATAGACTAGTAAAGTTTTAATTGGTTTAAAAAATCTTGCAAAAGGTTAGAACTTTTGGGATGATTTGCTGAATTTTTAATTTATTATTGTTAATTCTGGAAGGGTTAATTTACAAACTAACCAAATTTTCATTAGAAATAAAGAGCATAGCATTGATTTTGATATAATTAAATCCATAACAAACTTTCCCAAGATTTGTTTGGTACTACCATTTATTTTCCTAAGTTACCGGTGACAAAAAGAAAGGAAGTGATGTCATTGTTGATTTAAAACATATGGACAAGATAAAAACTACACTGTTGAAAATCAAATTAAACATATAGCATATCATCATTCAATTAATCACCACATATAAAAACCCAATTTCTAAAACTAAAGATGGTGGAACAAGCGGTGAAACAATGATGCATGATAATTGAAAACATTTTTTCATATATAAGATATAATATGGACTCTTTGTAAATAGTACATAATGTATGGTCTATTCCATTTCCATACGTAAATTAATAAATTTAAACATCATATAAAAATATTATAGAAATTAAAGTGATTTGATAGATAGATTGTATAAAAACTCTATAAATAATATAATCATAAACCCTAACTCTAATCCCACCTTCCCTCTTTTAATACTAAACACTAACTTCTAACCCATAAACCCTAAACCCAAATATAAGATAAATATATATATTTATAATGTTTTAAATAAAATTAAATTTTCAAATAAAAAAATAATAGAATAGAACATATCAAATGGTATAGTACATAGAACATATCAAAAAATATAGTACATATTAATTCAAATAGAATGATTTATTAGAAAATTGATTTTGTTTATTTGTGGACATTTTAAAGTTGTTTCCAAAAATCATATGTATCCAATAAAATACTAGACAAGATGAAACAAAATTACAAGTTATGCATGTGACTATACTCCAACTCCCTCATCCTTTAGATACTAAATCCTAAATCCTAATCAATAAATCCTAAACCCAAATATAAAATATAATATAAACTTACAATATTTGAAATAGAACCAAAATTTTAAATACTTATAACAAAATAGAATAGAACATATCAAATGGTATAGTACATATTAATTCAAATAGAATGATTTACTAGAAAATATATTTTCTTATGTGTGGACATTTAAAAGTTTTCTCCAAAAATCATATGTATACAATAGAGTATTGGACAAAAATGAAACAAAATTATAAGTTATGCATGTGACATCTCTTCCATCATATGAGATTATGCAAATGAAAATATACATAGAATGGAATAGACAGAATAGTATAATCATATTGATATGATTATTCTAAAAATAGTATACTATGTATGTATTAAATTAGCGAATAGGATAAAGCTCAATTTTACAGTTGTTATAGTAAAATGCGATAGTGATTATGAAGAATCGGTGGATAGATTGGAAAAGTATAGCGGAGGTTACAGAGTCAGTGGTGATCATGGCTACTATGATGATGGTAGACATGTGATGGATGTGTCCATGAAGGTGTTGATGGTGATTATGGAAGAGGTGATGGTCATTACAGAAGAAGATGTGGTGGTTGAATCGATAGTAGAGAAACATGTGGTGGTAGTGGTGGTTATAGCAGTGGCAACGGTGACCGGATTGGCGACAGTGGTTATAAAATAACAGGTAGTTGTGGTTGTAAAGGAAACTGTGATCACGGATATAGAAATGTGCTATGGTGGTGGTCATGGTGATAACATGATGGTGAAAGATGAAGTGATATATGTGGATATGGAAGAAACAACAGTATTTAGGTTAAGAAAATAAAACAAAAAATGAAATAGATAAAAAGTGAGGACAATATAGTATATAATATAGAAATGTTAGAGGCTTTTTATTTTTTTAGTTAGTTCCTTAATTATAATTTCTTTGAATGCTATTGAGTGCAATTTTCCATCCTGGAAATGTCTTAAATCTTTGTGCACCATAAAAGGCCATCATTCGTTGGGTCAGAGTTAAAAATTTTATTTCTAAGAATATGAATATTTTCATAAAGAGAAAATGAAATCAGGTTATAAGGCTGCTATAAATATGAGTTTAATTGATTGTAAATTTCTTCATTCACATAAAAAAATATACAACCGCAAAGGGGTATTAGCCTCAATTTTGTTTTCTCTTAATTTCTTTGCTTTTTTTCAAAATTAGTTTGCGTTCGTTCATAACACTTGATATTAGAGCTTTAGGTTGCGAAAAACCCTAAAGGATGAACAGAGGAAGTCTTCTAAAGTTCGATATTTTTAGGTTCGATGGAAAATGGAGTTTTGGTCTTTGGCAACGACAAGTTAAGGATTTGCTAACGCATCAAGAGATGAAGAAGGCTCTGTTAGAGTCGAAAACGAAAGCCATTGTTCAAGATGTATGATCATGCCGTATTAACACTTCAAATTTTTTTTCGAACGACATAACACATCAGTGATGAATCTCACAAATTGCAAAGAGATGTGAGATAAATTGGAAAAGATGCATATGTCAAGATCTTTATCTAGCAAAATATGCCTCAAAAAGAGGCTGTTTATTTTGAAGATGTCAGAGAATGGATATTTGTGGCACATGTCAACAATTGAAATCAAATATCACGGATCTAGCGTGTGTGGATGTGAAGATTGAGGACAAAATTTTGATATGTTCTCTTCTTCTCAATATGAGACGTTGTTGACAATTTTTACAGTCGTCAAAGTGACTATAAAGCTGGCGACATCTATTGCCGCATTGCTTTCACATCATGAAAGACGGCGTAATACTGGGATGAACTACAACTTTCAAGGTGATGGATTATATGTCAGCCATGATAGAGCAAGAAAGCGGGAGAACCAGCAGGATGGTTATAGCATGAAAAAATCAAAGTAAAATATTGGAAAGAAAGTTCTCAGCTACAAGTGTGGCAAGCCTAGCCACTATATGAAATCGTGTTTTGAGGCTGCTATAGGTTTGTAAATTTATTTGTTCACAAAATCAATATACAAACTCTAAAAAGTTATTTGCCTTAGTTTGTTTTGCTATTAGGTTCTTTGATTTATTCATAGTACTTCGTTCGAGTTTCTTAATAACAAGTGGTGTCGGAGCTTTAGATTGTGAGAACGCTAAAGGATAACCAGAGGAAATTCTCTAATGTTTTTAATAAAAATATATAAATTCATTAGTTTAATTAATATCAGAATTAACGTCAGTTAACGAAATTGGTACAAAAGTTAATATCATTTTTTTTAACTGACACATTTTAGAATTACTTAAATTAACTAATCTCTTATATATTAAAAGAGAAACATTTGTAATAAATACATTCATATAGTAATTGACACATGGTTTTGACCAAAAAAAAAAAGTAATTGACACATGGTACTTCAGAATCATTTTAAAATTAGAATGTTAACATGTCATCTTCACAATGATTTAATACTTAATGTATTCACACATTAATTTTTCTTACTCTAGCACAGACAATTTAATGTGTTCACACACAAATTTTTTTTCAATTAGCTCATTTTTAGTTCCTGCACTTTTTTACTTGATTAGTAAATTGAAGTTCTAACCAAGCAACTTGTGATAGTATCATTGTAGAAAACAATTATAAAATCATTAAGATTTGCATAAACTAAATGTTGAAATGAGAATCTTTGTAGAAATTGAAAGTTTATTTTATTTTATTGAACTTGACAATGGTTGAGACTTCTGCACACGAAGACAACAAGGAATTGTGACCGACTATGAATTAAGGAAACTGAGATGAAAAACACCACACAAAAAGTTGGATTTTAGTTTAGCCAAATATTTCTTTTCTTTACAGTTTTTTTCATACCAAACCTAAAATTTGAAACATTATCAGATGTCTACAAAAAAAAAGAAAAAAATCAGAAAAACTTTAAAAGAAAAGAAAATTCGCCAAATCGATTGAAAAATAGAACTCAAGTGCCGAGTGAAAAGATCACATTATTTTCAACGCAACCCTAACCCTTTTTCACTCGATTTTATCATGTTTTTATTATATTTACCAAGATTTTTTTATAAGAAAGTACATGTTATTAGTTATAGACTACGTCAATTTGGCAACATGTCTAACAATATTGACACGACACCCAACCATTTTTATTGCTATTCTTAAAGTATGGTCTAATAATTATGTATCTAAAAGAAGCTCATACTATTTTTTTACATTTATTTTCTTTAGTTTTATATTAGCAAAAGAAATAAGCCTGGATAAAATATATGGATACGAAGAACCGAACCGGACTTCTGAAAGTAATACTAAGCACAAATTAAAACTGATTAAGTACTTAGATGTATCTAAAAAATTATAATATCCGGATTACCATACCTAAATCCAATTCAAACTGAAATATTTTGGATACCAAAAATACCTAAATCAGAATTAAACATTTAAACATATTAATTATGTTTAGTTTTATATCTATTAGATATTAAACATATGAAAATATCCAAAAGAAATTATCAAAAATAGTCACAAGTCAATATCTAAAAAAAAAAACTAAAAAAAACTATTTTCTCTCCATTCAAATATTTAAACTGAACCATGTATATGTAAATTTAATTATTTAATCTTACATTATTCAATATTTAATATTATTTTTTATTTTTAGATTTTGAAGACTTAAGAATATTTGGATTTTTGTTAAAAATTACATAATTAAAATGGGTACGCGAAGTCGAACCCTTATAGAATTTTCATTGATTCGAACCAAATCCAAACCAAAACTCGTAAATATCGGAATCATATTTAAATTTCTATCTTGTTACATCTGGATGTGTCTTAAATCTCCGTGCACCAGTAAAATCCCAACATTCGTTGGGCCGGACGTAACCGTAGGCTCTATCAAGGTTGACATCTGGGGGTGCGGGTGCCGCAGCCCCCCGCGATATGGTATGCCTTTTCGATTTAGGAAAATTTACTTTCTATAGATAAGTATGTACTATAGAAAAAGAAATCGGGTTTTAATGCTACTATAAATATGGGTTTAAAGGATTGTAAAGTTATTCATTCACACAATAATATACAAATTCTAAAACATGTATTTGCCTCATTCGTTTTGCTCTCTTTGTTTCTTCTTCGAGTTTATTCGCATTTGTTCACAACAAATATTTTAATAATAGTTTTAATAATTAAATTCATATACAGTGAAACCTCTATAAATTAATAATGTTGGGACTACACCAAAATTTTATTTTTTTATTAATTTAGAGAGATATTAATTTATAGATATACTAATTGAACCAAAAACTCAATTTGGGACTATAAAATTATATTAATTTATAGAGATATTTAGTGTATATTAATTTATCGAGTATTAATTTATAGAGGTTCTACTGTAATTGATTTTAATTTAAAATATTATTTAAAGGATTTTGTAGTAAAATAAAAAATGTAAAGTTAAAATATACTCCTTCAGTTTTAAACATGTACATGGAAAATAATTTGTTTCAAAACAATTATTTTTTTTCTTGGTTTGATTTTGATTTGGTTTTAATTCTCAAACAAAAAAAAAAAAAAAAAAAAAACTGTTTTGATTTTCTGAATGCCAATAGTTTTTTCGGTTTGATTTGGTTAGGTTTTCCGAATTTGAATAAAATGTCCAGAAAACTACAAAATAATATTTGAACTTTGGAAATTGTTACAATTAAGAATTAACCGACAAGAAAAGGGAAGGTATATCTTTTGATTAAAAAAGAAGTTTTATAGATCTCTTGTTCGAACAGTTCTTCTACCCAAAGCTTTCTGGATCTCCCTCGTCTCCTCAGATTAGCCGCAATTGATTTTGGTATGGATTCGTGTAGAGATTTGATCAGCAATTTGCCAGATGAGATTCTTGGCAAAATCCTGTGTTTAGTTCCGACAAAAGTGGCTGCTTCCACATCTGTTCTGTCCAAGAGGTGGAGGAATCTGTTGTGTCTTATAGACATCCTTTGCTTTGATGACTCGGTGGTTGTTTACTTGTTTATCCCACCAAAGTAGAAGAAACAACAGGTGGTTCACATCGCTTCTTAGATTTTGTCGAAAATACTTTTGCTCTGTTAAGCAAATCTCCCGTCAACAAGAAACTCTCTCTGAGTCGTGTATATAAATAAGGTCGCTATGGAGATGACACAAAGTATTTATACTCTCGTGTCAACACTTGTTTCACACATTGGATTACGACTGCACTGGGACGTGGTTTATTGGAGCTGCACTTGCATGCATGCCGCATACTTTGCTGGTGTTGAGATAGAAACAAAGCTGTTAACGAGCAACACACTTGTTAAGCTCACAATATCTTGTGAACTCTTCATTGAAGTTGAGCGTGTGTTTTTCCCAGCGCTCAAGTCACTGTCTCTCTTATCAGTTTCAGGGCTTGATCATCCCAACTCCTGAGCCGCCAGGTTGCTGTATGGACGTGCAAAGTGCATCCATTAAGCGTCTTGTGGTTTATACTGGTATAACCATTCCTACTACCACAGATAGATATGGGTTTTACGGTGTAGTTTGTTTTGAAGCACCAAGTCTTGTCTACCTTGACTATTCTTGTTATGTGGCCGAAAATTATGAGTTTATTGAGTTGGATATGCTTGTTGAAGCTAGACTGATAGTCTCATGTTATGGGATTCCATGACTGATGATGATGATGATTATGAACCAAAGGCGGGCTATATTTGGTGACATTACAAATCTAGTTCTTGGTATAACGACCCTTCACCTGTCTCCTGATTCCCTTGAGGTCAGTTTCTTTTTCCTCTTCGTCTATTGATTGTTTTCTTTTGATTTGTGGAGGATCTGAATTAATCTGCTAGCAAGCAAGCAAGCAAGCAAGCAAGCAAGCAAGGTCTCTCTACTTATGTATGTTGTTTCTTTTTGTGATCGGACTTTCCATTTCTGCTGTAAATCCATGCATGTGTTCAGTAACAAGTAGATGTGGAGATGCATGCACTTGCATCTCTAAGACGCAGAAGAATAAGAGACACATGAAAAAGAGGAACATCCGGAAAGAGGATGAGATATTATGTTGTTTAGAGACATGTCATATAAAGGTGTTAGAGATTTCAGACTATGGAGGTTCTATTCAAGAGCTAAAACAGACGAGACATTTCTTTGGCAAGTTGAATTGTCTTGAAACTGTGAAAGTTGGTTCTAACTTAGACAACAACAAACGTGAGTTCTTGTGGGCTATCCTGCTTGCTCTCCCCCGAGTTTCATCAAAGTGCAACCTCCATTTCATATGATCTCTTTCTTTCTTTTTATGATTTGATGTGTTACTGTTAATGTAACTTAACATGATGAATATTTGATTTATGTCATAAAGTTTGTTCCTGAAGATTCATACATATAAGTTAATTCTTCCTCATAGTTTACCAGTTTCTTCAAGGGATCCTAGTAGCTTCTTTTTCTTCACTGACAAGATAAAGCATCAAATTTGAGTTTTGAAAACAATGCGAAAGGTGATTTGCAAGCAAACATAGTCAAATTCGATTGTTGAGCTTCTACACCACCACACACACATGACTGGTAGCTAGTAACCTTTAAAAAGATGGACTAAGAAGTTTATAGTACCAAGGCCAAAAAATTCCCTGGACCGTCTAATGTAGAAAAGCAACCCAAATCTAAATTGAATTCATCTATACATGCAGATATGTGACTAAAAAAGCAGTCTGTTATGAATCTGTACATATATCTATTAGCTTTCATTGTATGTGTCACGAAAATCAGTAAAAGAAACTGAGAAAAAGTGGAAAGTTTAATAGACGAGAAAGGGAACAAGCAAAGCTTTTATGGACAAATGTATTTGGGGGAAGTGAGTCTCTGACTGAGGAATGACTTAGTAGTGCAACGGGGAATTTGAAGCTCATGTGGAGATGTTGGTGGTGGCAGATACGTAAGTGGTAACATTAGCTGGCTTGTGTTCAGGTTCTGCAAGACAATTACATAAAAGAGTTTTGGTGTCTGAAACAAAGTTTCCTTTCAATACAAGATACGAGCTGAGATCCACTTACAGAGCACACATCACTGTCAATGGGAGTTCCTGGAGAGTAGAGAGAGAAACTGGTCCTGAAATCTGTTGACAGTAAGTGGTTTCCTGCAAAAATCACCAGAAAATTTCTAACCGTAATAAGCCTCAACTCCCAAACGGTAATCAAATCATGACACTCTATCTAACAACCAACTCTGTTTCTGACACACACACACAAAAAAAAATGAACGTGCAAACATCCACAGAGAAAGACCAAAACCACATTTTCTGAAATGACTCAGGATTCAGACAAGTTGATCCTGCGATATTGATTTTAAGGCGAAGATGTACCTGGTTATGACTGCTAAACTCTGTATCCTTGTGTTGTTGATGTGTAATGACTAAAGGTTTTCCGAGAGAACTAGAGAAGTTGGAAGAGAATCCAAGCCAATCCCGCCTGGAACAAAGACAGGAATGTCATTGAAGAGTTTCTCACCACCCTTTATAGCATTAGAAGCACCATTAACAGAGACAAGAATGTCCTTGATGTTCCTCTCAACAGTGGGTTCTTGCAGTTTGTGATGATCAGGTGAGAGTTTCTGGAGCAATGGAAAGGGAGAAGCTACTTTTCCAGTTGAAGATTGCTCTGAGACTGAGAGCGAGTGATTCGCTGCAAAAATAAAACTCGCTAAAGTGAACTTTTGAGGCATTTATATTTTTGCTGAAGTGACTCAATATGTCTCATCCCTGTGATATTGATTCTAATCTTGCCAAAACGTGAAAGAATGAAAGCAAAAAATATGCACCTGAGATATTGCTTGGTTTGTAGGCTGTGGGAGAGAGCTTGAAGCAGTATCAGACGCTTTGCTTTTACTGGGTGGGTTTCTTTGAGGTTTGTCTTCTTCTTCTTCAGGGTCAGGATTTTTGTTGCTCTGAATTTGGGTAATAGATGGTTCAGGAGCAGTTTTCTCTCCTCCTCGTTTAAGGAGGTAGTGAGAATGGTTCCCACTTTGGAACAGATACATCTTCCAATGTGCTGCAACCTCTTTATAGTAGTCATTACCACCATAGATGAAGAAAGGTGTGTAGAATACCATGGCATGATTTATACCAGTGATTTGCAGACTCATTCTCTTACCTGCTTTCCATCTTATTCGTGGGACACATATAACTGACATAGAGGTATACCTCTCAGGTGGATTGTGGTAGAAGAGCCAACCAGAATCTCTAAAATCATCCCCATCAGTTGAAAACCCTGCGCTAAAGCTCGCGAGACAGGGGCTTTAGGCGCCAAATTATATACTTTAGGGGTGCCAAATTTAGTTAAAATATTACTTTAGTTTAGTGGTTTATGTCCTTGTAGATTTGATAAATTTTTACTCAATGTATTGTATAAATTGTGATTGATTATTATTCATTATCATAGATTTCCATATATATATATATATATATTTTTTTTTTCCAAACTTATCTTTCTGTTACTTTCTTAAAAAAATTCTTTCATGAAATATAACTATTTGATATTAAAATAATTTTGTTTGGTATTTTAATATTTTGATTTGTCTTGTTTTTTTTTATAAAAGTTTTAGGATCAAATAGTTATATTTCTTGAAATTTTTTTTTTTTAAATTGTTATTTTTAATAATTTCTTTTATCTTAATTTTATTTTTACAATTATCTTTCACTTGACAATAAAAATGAACTTTTTGTGTTTCTGCATTTTTGTTTTTGTTGCATAGATTTGAAAAATCTTATGAGTATAGATGATATTTGTAAAGTTGAGTGTTATGAGTAAAACTAGAGAGAATTTATGTCTCAATAACAAGAGAATTTAATAGAATTACAAAGTCAATAAAAATTAAACTTGTTGAATAAAAAGATTTTGCATGGGAATCCAATAACAAAGGGTTCTATAAAGATTTTAAGAATCCATAAACCAATAACAAGGGAATCTCTAAATTTAATAATTCCTCTAAAATTTAATTACCAATAACCCCCTCCCCCACCTTAGTCTATTCTTAAATAAACTATTTAATCAAGCAAATCTTAGTTATATATTTTAAATAAACATTCTTCTTTGGTTTTGTTTTCTATTTTTTTTTATGAAATAGCTTTGTACAAGATATTTATTATAACAAAAGATTTCAATTATCAGTTTCTACATACTTCACATCTAATAATATATATTCTTCTTCCTGACTAATCAACTAAAATTGATTGGCAAGGATACTAGTAGAATCAATCTGGCATAAATATTTAGTTATTCAAAATTCATAAAAACATTATATCCATGAATAATATGATTTTGTTTCTGTATTTTTTATTTTTGTTAACAAATTAGAATTTAATAGTATATTTCATTATCTAGATTGCAAACTTTAAGATGCAGTAAAAATTATAGTTATATTTAAGGGTAAAACAAATTTTGTGCGTTTTAGGCGCCAAATTAGTCCGGACCGGCACTACCAAGAAGCTTCTGTAAAAGTTGTTCTTTCCTCTAAGTGGACACCGTCTAAAAAACATGGGATACCAGTTTCAACATTAAGAAACAAAGAAACACAACATGTAGCTCTCAAGTCTCTAAACCCACCGCAACACTGAAAAGCTCTGGTATGTACTGAAAACTCTGTCGCTTTATACTCATGATCCTGACAGGAGTAGCTGGAACCAATCAAAACCCCAAGATGGCATCCCAGAAGTGCACACGTTTCTGTATAGTTCCTCACAGATCTGAATCTTCAAGGGAGAATTGCAGCAGCTTGCAGAGCCTCGGCTGCCTAAGCCACCTCCTGATTAGCATGAGCCGCTGCCTCTTGAGCCACCTCCTGATTAGCATCTTGAGCCACCTGATTAGCATGAGCCGCCTGATTAGCATCTTGAGCCGTCTTATGAACCTCCGCTTGATTAGCATATTGAGCCTATGGTATTGCAACTTCGTTGACGTTCTAAAAATAAAGGCCAAATTTATAAAAAAGAACAAGGAAAGTGTCAAACCCGAAAATCCAAAGAAGATAAGAGCCAAAACTAAATCTTCTCCATTCACAATCAATACGATACTAAAGAAAGAATGAGTCTCCAAACCCTAATATCCAAACAAATAGGGCCTAAACTAAAAAAATATCAAACCTTAAACCTTAAAAACATCTCTATTGCTATCACGTCCTCTCTATCGCTATCACTATGGATGATGGGATATTTTCTAATACCAATCTAATCCACTGAATCAAGAAACTTTCTTAAAATGTATCGCTAATCCAATCGAAATTTCAGGGAATCATCAATCTTGGATTTGGAATTCAAACAATCAATGATATTGAATTACCTTACAAGAACTAGTTTGCGTTTCTTCGGCGGCGAGAAATGGAACGATGGAGTTAATAGAGAGAAACTGAACAATGGAGTTTTGGTAGAGGAGAGAAATTAAAGAATGGAGAAGGAGACCCTATAGTGAACCCGATCAGGTTTATAAGCTTTGGTATTTTTTGAGATCCTTGGGCTAGTTTAGAGGCTAACACCCTATCTTGGTGTGTGCACATTGGTTATCACGGGTGCATTGGTTACATGTGTTTCTCAATTGCGCTCTGGCTGTTAAAGTGTGGGGACTTGTTCCGATGGAGACAATCTCGTCCATGACGAATCACTCTATCTGTGAACTCATATCCTCCCTG